CTCTCTCTCTCTCTCACACACACACACAAACACACACTCTCTCTCTCTCTCACACACACACACAAACACACACTCTCTCTCTCTCTCACACACACACACAAACACACACTCTCTCTCTCTCTCACACACACACACAAACACACACTCTCTCTCTCTCTCACACACACACACACACTGCATTCAAGGTGTGTTACAAGAGAAGAAACCACAAAAGCCAAAACTCACACTCATATGAGGCTGCTCTCTCCTCTTGCTGCTGTTAGCAGGTCTGTAATATCATTCAAATACTGTATCAATATGCTCCATGTCTTATATTGTTTATTTCTGTGTGGGGAAACTCATTCTGAAAGAAACTATAGCCCTATTGAAACAGACTCCCTCAGGTCGGTAAAGTCGTGTTTCACAAACACACTTTGTCATTTCAATCCTGTTTGAATCGAACACGTCTGTGTAAATAACAAAATACCTACTTTCTGCAGTTAACTCAGGCATCCTCTGAGAAATCAAATTCTGTCTGGATAGAAATGTTTGTTGTTGTCACAATGCTTCACCTCATCTAAGCTGTCGAATTCTGTAATGAAGGCTAAATTTCTCATTGTGTGCAAATCGTCTGACTGCATTTAAACCTTACTGACAAAACATAACAGTTGGTGGTTCACGCACGGCTAAAATCCCATCCGATGTGAAAATTAAATCAATATGGAAAGTCCAATCAAGAAACACTGCAAAAATATCTGCATCTAAGTATTAGACAAATGAGAAATAGATCCTAATCCCAGGGATGGGCAGTATTTATGATACATGTATTTCAAATACGTATTTCAAATACAAAATAATATTTTGTAATTTGTATTTGATAGGGTTGATAAAAATGGCTTCGTATTTTGTATCAAATACTTCAGTGTTTTGTAGTTTTAAAATACTGTAAAATACTTTGTTAGAAGTCTACATGATGACATTATAAAAATGCGGCCTCTGATGGGTGCCTACTCAATAGGGCTAGTTTGCCCAGACTTGTTGAGATCAGAACAGAAAATTGATGCATATGGAAGAAGTTGGTCAAGGTAAGAAATGTGCAGGCTGCCAGCTTTCCATAAATTTTTTGGCATAAATTGCTATAATTTTTAACAGTTCATGTTAAGTTTTGGTATTCGTTTTAGTAGCCTAGGCTAAGCAGTTTACCAATTTACATAATGTTCTTGAAAACTATTATACCGAGCAGCAGCCTCACAATTAACGTTAGCTTGCTACTTTCAGCCTATGTTAAATTCGTCGGTTGTACACGAAAAAAATAATGATACAGTGTTTCAGTGTTGTACAACATTACATTTTAATGCCACGATATTGGTGTAATGGTCTAAACTCGCGTGGAGCAGCAGCATTTACTGTGAGCCGCTCTGAGACATGGATATGACCGCGTGTGAAAGAGCATAGCAGAGCTGCACACGGCAGCACGTGTGTATTGTAAAACCTGTTTCACACCGCACCGCACATCGGCGTGTATGTTAACGAAAGACACCTGCACCGCATATGGAAGAAGTTGGTCAAGGTAAGAAATGTGCAGGCTGCCAGCTTTCCATAAATTTTTTGGCATAAATTGCTATAATTTTTAACAGTTCATGTTAAGTTTTGGTATTTGTTTTAGTAGCCTAGGCTAAGCAGTTTACCAATTTACATAATGTTCTTGAAAACTATTATACCGAGCAGCAGCCTCACAATTAACGTTAGCTTGCTACTTTCAGCCTATGTTAAATTCGTCGGTTGTACACGAAAAAAATAATGATACAGTGTTTCAGTGTTGTACAACATTACATTTTAATGCCACGATATTGGTGTAATGGTCTAAACTCGCGTGGAGCAGCAGCATTTACTGTGAGCCGCTCTGAGACATGGATATGACCGCGTGTGAAAGAGCATAGCAGAGCTGCACACGGCAGCACGTGTGTATTGTAAAACCTGTTTCACACCGCACCGCACATCGGCGTGTATGTTAACGAAAGA